GACCTGGAAGATGTGCGACCAGCGTTTCTGGCGTGCCCGGGACGAATAGCGGTCGAGAAGAGAAGAGAAGAGAAGTATTGAATTTGGCCATTTCCAAATTGTTGTACGATCAAGCTACTCGTCCTGCTTAGGCTTAGTTTCCTTCAGTCATAAGAATGACACGAAAACGGCTTTTTGGGATGTCTTACCTTTTGCAGAGCGCCTTACGTTTTGATGTACCTTACCTTCTTACCATTAGAGATATTGCATTACACATCGCCATGTTCAGGTCGAGGAAAACGAAGGTTGCGCCAGGCGACATCCGGCGTTACGAAACGCGACTGCGTTTCAACTACAGTTTTCCTCCTTCCCTTACCTGCAGACACTGAATTTCTGGCTATTCAATTTGTGCTCGAAGATTATCCCATCGGTAAGCGTATTGATCGATTATCCCATTTTTTCTGGCCTGTGAATAACTTATTGATCAAACACGTATTTAAGGTGATTTTGTGCCTAATGACGTTTATGATTCTTGCCAAGCTCAAGAAGATTCAACAGTTGAGTTCACGGTTTACGAGTGTCGAACGTGATAAGCAGTATCACAGGACGACGAACATGATTCTGGTGAGTTGAGCTCCATGTATCTTCGGTGATTGCCATCCGTTTTCCGAGTTTACTTGGGTGGACTTTTTGGGACTAACTTAAGTGCTACAACTCCTCTGCGACACCCAAAAACTCTCCATACTGGAAAGTTATCTGACCTGAGTGCACATCCTGCTCGATGTTGTTCGTTCACTTGGAAATAAATGTAGATGGGAAATAGAGTCTCCGAGTTGGAATGAGGCTTCTCTCAATGAAGAACGCCTAGTCGGGTGGAAGTAAAACCAAGATTGACAGCACGACAGAGTGTGCAGTCCACAACCCCCCACCGACCATCTGGATGGTCAGGAACTTTGCGCTGATCCGTTCGCTGCCACTTGATTACTTTCACCCAACTGCACAAAATCGAGCAGGACTCCGCAAAATGGTTGAACTTCGCGGCCCCGTTAACTAAATTGCAAATTCAAATCACGATGGAGCAGGTAAAGTCTATGTAAATATTATGCTAACACTGTGGTGATCTCCCACCAGTGAGGGGGGAACACGCCATTGAAATTGCAGAAGATAAGGTTATCAATCATTTTTGGCAAATTCACAAGCAGTTCGAGCGCCATCGGTTGCGGAGATGTGAAAACACTATCGGAGGTGAGAGAGCATGCGGAAAGTGTGAGACGCAGACACTAACACACTCGCATTGATGGCGGCCAAAGACCTATATATAAAGTGAGTCCGGGACGCTTTCAATCCGCAATCGCGTGGTGGCAATGTCGTTGTGATTCGGTACCACTCAACCTATTCACTGGAGAGCTTGTTCCACACTTTATCTTTCATTGTGGAGCTTGTCCCTGAAAGCATAAGCTACGATAATTTCATGAAGTCTGCTAGAGTTGCAGTCGCTGGAAGAAACAGTGCAGCAGAAGCGGGCCTCGAAACGACGAAGTTCCTCAAGCTCTTAAACCATCTACAAGGAGGGGCCTTATTCCGGGCATTCTTGACGATTCTTTCGCTTTGTTCGTCTTGGTCAGGTCATAAGCCCTTACTGTTTCACATTTGAAGTTTCTGCCTAAATTCTGTTGTCATGGAATGCGCTTTTAAGCTGGAGCCGTGAAATCACAAAACTTTGAAAGGCGTGTTCCTTGTTGTAAACGCCGTATTCGCACAATATTATTTCATCTTCGGAGACTTTGAGTTTTTCACAGATATAGTGAGAAATAAACACGTAGTACGACAAATAAGCGATGTTTGGTAGGATTTTTTCCGAGATGTTTATACTATTTTTGCCGGCTCACTGGCACGTGAAAAACGCATAGACGAGCAGATACAAACACAAATCATCAACAAGGGAAGCTGTCGTGGGAAATTCATTAAATTTGTTGAAAGGAGCAGGCTTTGAAATCTGCGACAGAGTTATCCACTATTTCGCCAGTAGATCTGATCAGATGGACCAAAATATGTCCCTAAGGACGCGAGTATTCGTTAAGTTTGTTGAGTCACAGCGAGATCTAGGTCAAAGGACGCCCAAAAATTCAAACATGACCGCTCCCAGAGTTACCACTGAAAAGCTCGCTTCTAAAAGCATGGGGTTGATAGCCGGAGAGTGGTTATTCGTGAAAACTTCAGAATTATTTATGAGGAATTTTTAGGAATTTTACCATTTTTGGAATGGGTGGATTCCCAGTTTGCGGGATTTTGGGAAGTGAATGTAAAAGAACCATGAACGGGGAGGTTACGTAATTTTTTTTTAAAAAGGTGGTAGGATATTGGGGGTAACGTGGTGTTTGGAAGTTTTCCTCGTCATTACATTCCTAATCAGGACCGGTGTTTGAACTTCTCTAATGGCTACATTGAATGAAGTGACTGAACGCGCTGAACCAGAACCAGAGAAACTGTAAGCATGTTTGACTGGTGGGCTAGTTACAGGGTTACGAAGTCCTTAAACAATGCTTCGGCAGGAGTTAGCAGGGGTTAGGCATGGTTAGATCTAGGAAACTGCATTGGTAACAAGCTATCAAGAAATTTCCACTTTCTGAGTTTTTCTTCAGTATGCTACAGTATCTAAAGGACTGCGAATAAAGCTCTCAGTTATTTGACAAATTCCCCTTTGGAAATCCCGCCTCCACATCACGTCTATTCAGAATCCGTAGCGACAGTTCATGGCACTGCCATACAAATTACTTGCGAGCGCTTAGTCCTATGTATATAGTTCAGCAGGTCGCGCTCTCGACTTTGCGTCCAATCTCGGCAATGGGGAGTAGAGAGCTTTCTTCACCTAGGCGGGGTTTGATCCAGGACTGGATCCCTGTAGCCGAGGGTTTATTCGCTCATGAAACTTATGTGGCTCCAGATAATATAATAAATTCCACCGATTTAGGAGACGACGCTATTTGTTGACCCTTGCACATAAATGCTTATGGGATTGGGGCACGGCACACTTCGAGCACTGCTTTCAGAGGGCATTGGAATCGCTCAATTGTTATAAAACCAATTTCAAAGTACAAAGGGGCTGACATGGACGGATACCCACGCTTCTTCGGCCTACATAAATCTCATTCGAAATGCCACCTCGATTTTGAATATTAAAAGTCGCGAGCGTATTCCGAAGGGGGACACCGTTACTTATAAGTTGGGTTTAGTTCGATGCACCATAGCCGACAGTACATGGAGATGTAAATGTACTACATAGGTTGAAAATCCCACGAACTAGTTCCGAATGCTGACCTATTCATGAACGGACTTGGATGCTTGCGCGTTCTTCAGCTACAATGCTTCAGTATGCTCTCTGGATTGCAGGGCCGATTAAAATCCGTAACCTGGTGAAACTCCAGTTCGGGGGGGGGGCACTCCATTGCTATCTTATCCGTAGTACTAGAGAGCAGTTCTTTGGGCTATCGAACACTACGGATAAGATAATAAGTGAACGACTCATTTCGAGCGTACTTTTGATAAGGACCGGTGGATGTCCTACATTCCACACTACCTGCCCACATCCCATCCACTTTTCTGCACAGGTGATCCACCCTGGAGCTCCTGCACCCTTAGCCCTTTGCGGAGGTGTCCTTTCTCCTGGTCCAGGACCGTTCCCTTGGGTCATGGCAGGCGGAAATGTGAAAACGTTTCAGGGTTTCTCACCCATTACACCAATATTTATCAGAAGTCTACTTTAAATGAGTCGATTACGTGTCGTGAGCCCTCTAATCCTTATCTTGAGTATTGGAGAAAAAATGGAGTGCCCCCCCCCGAACTGGAGTTTCACCCATAACATAATTTATTCGATAAATGTTATCTGCAGTGAATCCAATGAACTTACGAAGTTATACGAGGTGAACTAATGAAGCGCAAAGTCTGTACAGATGCGATAGATTACGTGGGAGGATTAGATGCACGAGTTTGTGCACCCTTCCTTTCCTAACTGAACCTATTTGGAAGTCCTTTCGAATTTGAGTACAAGTAAAATGGCACATGCGCGTCTCACCGTTCACAACACTTGTTTCCACAACTGTTCTCTTTTATACACCAAAACCTTATTCCTTCAACGAATATTTGAAAATTTGAATAGAAATTCCGGGCTCAGACGTTTTGGCACTGGTCCAAGTATTCCGTCACGCATTTATAATCCAAGAAAAACAATGCTTCACAACAGCTACTATTTTCCCTTAATGGAGACTTGCAAATCGTTCCTGTGGGACTTCACAACATCCTCCTTCAACCGTGGAGAGTGCGGGGAGATTTTCTGAGAAGCTCCGACTTACTGGAACCCTAAGCAGATCGTGGGAAGTTTTTGAATGCTTCGAAGTAACTCAGGCCTCTACAATTTGGGGAAATGGGCTCTGTAAATGCGCGGATCGGATTTTGGCACTTCTCGCAGGTATGAATCCGAATCCTGCTTCAGCGGCTCCTCTGAATGGGTTCGAAGATATGAAAAGAATGCTGAGTTATTACTCCACCAGAGACCATTTCGTCCTAACTCGGCTTTTTATCCAACAAAAACAACTTGAAACGGGTTTAAAGATCTGGTGTATGAAGCATGGGTGGAATTTCAAATTGGAAACTTCGTCCAGGTAGGCCACCGGCTAGGGTGGTTCCCAGGGTTACCCAGCCTCCCATTCTCCCTTCCTACAAGGGTTTACTCTCCTGACCAGCACATTTCCGTTACGCCTATAGGATGCGCTCCAAGTGGCAGTTCCGCACTTGAAATTGAATGTGGTGCGTCACATCTCAAAAGTTCAAAGGCCTACATCTCGTCATAAAATTGAATAGTAGTAATTTAAAAGAAGTTTCTGATCGAGTGGCTCGTTCCTTCCTTCCCCGAGTGGCCTTTTTTCCTTGATTCCCGAATCTGCTTCTGGAGCTGTCAATGCAATAAAGACGAAAAAATCTACGGGAAGGATTCCTCAGTCTGCAAATTTTCCACCAAACTATGGTTTCTTTTTTTCAGATCATCATGTTCATTTTCATCATAGTCGAATTACCGCAAGGATTGCTAGCTGTTCTATCTACCGTAACCGAACTGCAATTAATCGTTGTTC